GATGCGCAGATTTGAGATCACTGGCTTTTGATTCTTTCTTTGACATTGATTGGTTTCTGTTATGGTTCTGAGTGCGTCTGTTTCTTTGTTGACGTAGTATGTTTCAAATTGAGTGATTTGTTTATCGATGTTGGTTTAGTTTTTGTTTATCATTTATTTATTATTTGTTTATTATTTATCTATTTATCATTTATTTGCTGTGCTAACGGTTGTGATTACGAAACAGCTGATGTTTTTTGATTACTGGTTTGTAATTTCGGTTGATGCCTTATGTATCAGTTGTCTTCACACAGCTGAGTTTTAAAGATAATAAAGTTCTGAAAAGTTTCGCTTCTATTAGGCATGGTTATTTACCAAAGTCGATTCTCTTTTCATACTTGTGCGTTTGAGTATAAATTTTTTTCTGACCTTCAGACATTATGGCTGTTACTGCTGTGAATGACAGCGGATTTGGCGATACAGAGCTATTGCAAGATGACGATGAGGTAAGGAACGGAACATGTTACAGAGATTTACGGAAGTTTTAGAAATTCCACTTTATATTGGTATTTTGCTATCACTGTATAAGCGTTTTTATTTTTTTGCAGCCCCGTTTAAAACTTTGGAGTAAGATTATTCACTATTGTAATCTAAAATTTGACGTTATTTTTCATCACACCTACCTACCAAGGATCAAGCAGAAAATGAATAAAACCTACTAAGTACCGAAAGCAGTGAATCTTACGCTACGTGGAGGTTTGTTGGTTGGAGACAGTCTATGATTTATTAACCAGCTCAGCACAGCTTGGCCTCATCCCTGAATGAGAAGCGTAGGTCATTTGTATTTTCTGTATTTCGCTCTCGGACTCATTCCGGGATTCGTCATTAGATTGGACTTTTAACGGACTGACAGAAAGCGTTGACAGCCGCGGTAGAGAGGAGAAATTTTTGTAAGCGAGTGGTCAGAATCAGTGGTTCTTGTGTGGACTAAAGATACGATTTATGTTCATCAGTTCATTTTCTATAGGATTTGGACGAAACATTGCTGGAACGTATCCAGGGCCTTTGTGAGATGTTTCCTGAAAGTTTCCGTAATGTCTTCGGATTTGCGATTAGCAGCGGCATTGGACTGTCGAAATCATTATTCTTCTTGACAAGAAAGATCCTGTGGATTACCACCACTTCAGCCACTGTGATATTGCTGCCGTTTTTGTTCGTGAAGGAGATCTCAGAAGTGGAACAGATGCAGTTACAGCAGCAGCGACAGGTAAGTTTTCATGCTATATGCTTTTTTTACCTTCGAATGGGTCAGGAATTCCTTCTATTCCTTGTTCCACATTTTGTTTCTCTTCATTGTCATCTCTTCATCTTCCCTAGGAGATCTTACGGTAGTTAATCCCACTAAACCGATTTCTTACACGACATCTTCGGTAAAGATGCATTCTGTTTAAGTGGAAGTTGGTAGCTTTGCAATTCTTTGAATATGCCAAAGTGGAAACAATGGAATGCTGTCGTATCTGTGCCAACCATGTTGGAGCAGAAGCAATGGGTTTTGGTACCTCAGTTGCATGATGGATATTGGAACACAGCCATGGGAACATTCGCCTGTTGTTGTACCATCTGAATGAAAAAATGTTGATTGTTGCTCACTTGTCCTAAAAACTGTTATGTAAAGCTTCGTTTAATAGCATTTATTCACGCTGGCTTGTTTTATCGAGTGTTCGTGTGGTTTCAACAGGGAAAATGCGTCATCGAGTCTGTTTAACATGTGAGTCGCATCCATTTTGGAAATGATATGGAAGCAGATATTGGCAGCATGAGCATTAGAAAACATACGTGTCATACAACGTGATCACTTTGAAGGTTATCTTGTAAGTTTGGTAGAATAAGCATCGCATTCGGAAAGTACGTTTTTTCAAAAAACCGGAAGTGTGATTCAAAGCAATTTTTGAACTTTTATGTTGTTGTGACGTTGAAAAGCGAAATATAATGTTAAGTGTGCAGATGTCTGCTATAATGTGCAATTTGGCAGCAAAAGGGATTTTCACATGAAAATTTTTTACATTTGCGCTTGCACCTTTTGCTGATTTATAATCAGCTGCCATATGGTTAAAGATGAATTGCAGCCAGAAAGCGCGTGCGTCTGTAAGCATGGTCGTATGCTTCACTTGCTGTTGCACGGACAAATAAAAATACTGTTTTTTTCACCACTAACATTGGTGGAGTGGCGTTCTCTAGTATGTCGTGCACTATGCGGAAATACACACGCGAATCGAGTAAACGAGTGTAATGTTACAGCTAAGTTGGTCTGGGGGAGCTAAGAAAGAGTTCGGCATTAGATCGTCTAAGCTGCCTGTCTTTAAGTTTATACGTACTTGTCCTCATTTATGGGCGATAGCGCTGGATATCAACCGATCCAGTGCGATACTGGACAGAAACTGTGTAAATGAAATCCCGTCGAAGGATTGTTGATATGACCAGACTCGATCAAGTTCTGGATATTTGCGTTTATCAGCCGCACCTTCTTTCAGTTACTTGATCATAATTGTAGTAGTTTTCACATGTGATGGGGATTCTTCAGGAGAAACCCGCAAGGGCGGATTCTCCTAGCATAACCACATAGAGGACGGTCCAAGAACGGATCGCCCAACATATGGCTCGATTACATGGAAGATTTGAAATTGTCCCGCCTTTGGATTTGGACCACATAGCATATCTGGATGTCGAACCCCGGAACCATTGATAGGGCTACCAAAAATCGCCAGCAAAATGAATTGCATTGTGTGCTTTGAAAATGAACGAAGACCTTGACTGTAAAACTTCATGTCGAATAAATGCATTTATGTTTTGTACCCGATGCACTTCATATGATTGTATCTTTTGTAGATATTATTTGGTCCTAGTCAAGCACTGGCCAGCGGCAGTCACGCGGGAATTGGTGGCCTCGCAGGTGGTAGGGCAGGTTCTTCGATAGCGTAATGATCTGTTACTCTTGTCTAGTTCTTATCATATTCGTACGTGCCTATTTGCTTCATAAGTAAAATGAATGCCTGCATGAAATATAATTTTTACCATAAGCGAAAGCTACTGTTTCGATTTGGCGGAAAAAATAGAATGCAGAATTTACTATCCGCGAAACTCAACAGTTTCTGTAGCGAAAGAGGACAAATTCAGTTACAACTACAGAAATGTTTTTTTCGAGTGCATTTAGTGTGAACTTGGCATAAACGTGCTTAGCTGAGTATTTATGCACAACGGCATAGTTCTTCAGTCAGAAGATTGACCGTCACTGACGTTTCGCCCATATCTCACGGGTCTCTTTTAAAGTACAGGGGATTGTTAAGTTCACAGGTCATCATGGCGGTTATTTCTGTCTGTCAATGTGCTTTACTGATGGCAAACCTAACATCGTGGTCCTGATTGAAACGTAAAATTTGGCGAAATAATGTTTCAAAACTTTTACTGATGTCGACATTTGTCACAAATGCGAATATTTATCATTCTGATCTCTTCAGCAGGCTGTTCTTTTTCTCTATTATTTGGTTTAAAGAGGTAGGGTAGATGTAGCTTGAATTCATACCTG